GACAGAGATAATTAAATAGATGACTGTGGTGGGGAGTGGGGATATATATATATATATATTTGTTGAATAAATGAACAAGTGCAAAATTTTGACAACGAAAAGGGTTAAATTAACTCTTTGACATCTTTTTCTTTATACAACTTTTCTGAATTTCTGAGGTGATATGTTATACTTAAAGTAGCATTGTTTTAGTAATTTAATAACAAATAAGTCTACCACATGTAAAGAAACCAAACTGTCAGCATTAATATAAACATCTTTCATATTTTGTTTGGATGCTGAAATGTCAAATTGGAGTCTCCCCCTGAAAATGCATGGCGTGTTTCCTGCCTGTCTGAGCAGGACTCACCTTCCCTTTTTGCAGCACACAACCCTTAGCCTTATTCTGTTTGCCTTTTCATGCCCTTTATAGTGTGAAATGAACAATTAGTCACTTCCTCACGAAGAATGCAGCTTTTTAGAAACTAAACAACAGATCTTGCTTGTTTCTCACGGATTCAATATGTTTGAAAAAAATGTCTCTGAGAAATCTGTGTGATTAGAGGGCAACTTATTAAAGACTCAGACCATCTCAGTGTACAATGCAATATCAGTTTCTGACATTCATTTTATTAAATTGACTACCCATCTTCAAGATCTATGAGGTGGAAGACCTCCTTTGCATATTACAACTATGAGTATTTTGGATGTTTCACTCTAAGGAAAACTGAAGGAACAATTTTAATAAGTGAATCAGAATGAATTGCTCTTCTAAAAGAAATACATAAGAATTGTGTCGGGTTTAGATTACTAATCACATACTTACATGGGTGTTTATCATTATTGATTTGCCGACATAAAATGTCTTACACAATCACAGCCAGCTCAAAGCAAGTAAGTGGTAGGAGATTTTGAGATTTTTGTGTTATCAGAGAGTTATCAGAGAGTAATACTTAAATATGGATGGATGGTGCTGGAAAAATTACAAAAGCTCTAATATTAGGGATGACTGATGAAAATAACTTTTATTTTCATTGAAAAATGAATGTCAAATCACCTTCTAATCACTTATTTCAAATGTTAATTTTTCAAGCAGTATTTCGAGTCTGTTTTATGCCTTCCATTTAAAATTCTGGCTGCTTTGGATAAAGAACTACTAACATAGTAATTCAAATATGTTGTAGATATTGTTAGTAGAATAAGACCAGAAAATAAAAGTGGGGACTAAAGTTTATGTGTATTTTTATAAAAAAGACCACATCTAAACTTTCTGCTTGTTCAGAACACTTAAAAGAGTGAATCCTAAATTGACAAATTCAGTGTGTACTTGCTTCCCACTGATAATTTACCAAATTGTTGTGAAATAATGAAACAGATTATTGCTCTTATTTGCAGATATTCTAAGACACCATTTATTTCTGGAGAGGATCCTGAAATGTATGCTTATTTGTGTTTTTCATATTTTCTCTTTTCCATCTTCATTACATGTGCCTTGTATTTTTTTCCTGCATTTCATTCCAGCTGTTTATTTTGCAGAGTGGAATTCTACTTGCATTCAGTTACATTCAATTAATTGTGAATTTTAAGAGGTTGTTGAGAAATGGTCTAAATAATTAATATATATATATAAAATCTTTTTTCTTTTCACAAAGATTTCAAAGCCCTACATTCACACGATTGGAAAAAATTAGTAAATTGTAGAAACTGCAGCAGTAGTAAAAAATAATTCACAGTCTTATCATTCTTTGGTTTAAAGTAATACTTATTTACAATATGCTTGTTATAAAATGGTCTTTTTTTTTTTCCTTTGGTCTGTAATGATTCTTCATATGTTATCCCATATTATTCCTACTGAACTGGATGGACTCAGTTGTACGATACAGCAGTGGTTCCCTGTTGTGCCACCAAAATCAAGACTGAATTTCCAAGGACAATTTGGTATCATTCTGATTTATTTAAAATAATAAAATCAAGCAAAACCATTCATGAAGCTAATTTTTCTTACGTATAAACCTAAAGATGTATTTTTACATAATTCACTAAGACATATGAAAATCAAATTTGAAATACCTTCTTTTAGAATGTCATATTTATAGTAATCAATGTGGCTCAATTGAATAATCTTAGAGAATGGAGAGTTGAAAAGGCAAAAGTGGTTTTAGACATTTTTAAAATACAAAAATATATTTTTCTCACTGTAAATTGTTACAATATTTTAAAAATTTGTTGTATGTGAAATCAAAGAAGCATAAAATCCCGAAGTTTCCAGTTTCTGCAGACTGAAATTGCAAAGACAGAGTATGCACCTGACTCATACCTCTTTCTGAAATATTATGCAGTGTAAAGTATTCGTGAAAAGTGGAGATAGGTAACCTTTGGGGAAAAGAAAAAAAAAAAAAATCTATCCAAAACCGTAGTTAATCTTTCAATCCTAAATCTGTGAGTGGTGATCTATCAATTTTGCCATTTTAAAAGTAATGTAGTCTTGTAGGTTAACATACCTAAAACTGTTAAATGTATATTTTGGTTGTATTATCATAAAACACAAATATCAGTGTTCTATTATTATGAAGAGTATTGATATATATGAAAATTTTCTCTTTTAAAATTTCAAATAAAGTAAGCAAATTTTATATGGTAAATTGAACTAAATAAAGTAAGATATTCCTGAAAGTTTTCAAAATGTATTTTTCTTGTAAGTATGCAATAATTTTATCTGTGAAAGAAAAAAATAAGTATCTCCCCCATTTGATGCAATCACATAAGTTTTATTGTGATTTAATTTAGATTTTGGCTGACTGAGGTGAACATTATTACCACAAGTAACTGCTCCATTTAAGGTTTCAAATTGTGATCTCATGAATCAAAATTTGAAATACCCCTGTGTTACTGTGAATATACATGAGTATAATTCATTAAAGAAGGTGAGATTTTGCTTGTAGTTTTGCTTTACAAGATATTTCTTGGATTTATTTTATGGAAAATCATATTCCATTCCAATGTGGCACACACAGAGGTGATGCCTTTTATTTGCAAATAGATGATATTATAATATTGCCACAAACATTTACTCAAGTAACACCTGAAATATTGTATGAGAAATTGAAATTGTCAATTTTTGTGATTGTATTTACAAACTTCAAACGAGTTAATATTAACAAATACTCATAAGACATCTGATTTCACTTATATAATCTATACATAATATCAAGGAGGTAGCTTTTCAACAATGAATTATTTCCCTCTCTGGTCTGGGTCAGGGAGTCCAGGATTTTCAGGCTACTGTCAGGTTCTGTGCCTGGTGATGGCTACCTTGCCATCCTGTTTATTCTTACATGTTGGAATATGGAAACAGAATCCTTTGGACTACTTCGTAAGGACACTAATTTCAATTTTCAGGACTCTACTCCCATAACCTAATCACCTCACATAATTTCCACTTCCTAATATCATCAGTTTGAGGGATTAAGATTTCAACACCTGTGCTGGGGTATGAGGCAGAACATTTACAGTATAACAGGACACCTAGGTACCAAATCAGTCTCAAACTCTTGCTGTAAATAAATACAAGATTAACAATTTAGAAAATCCAGGGGCATTTGTTTGAATACAGGAAGACGTGAATAATTCTCCAGAAAAATGTGTGCAACATTAAATTAGAGTGGAAATCAACTACCATCAGACAACTTGATGCTTGCATTACATGGCTTTATTCATTGAAAAAGCTCTTACTGGAAGAGGAAGTCATAAATATGGTTTCCGGTCATTCATTTCAGAATCTTGTACAGCTTTACTTATAGTTTATATAGGTATGAACA